TATATGTTGAGGCGTGATGCAATGGACTTGAAAATCATGGCTCTGGGAGCAGGGTTGGAGTTAGGTCTGGTCGAGATACCGTCAAATAAGGTCATGAAAAGTGTATGAGTTGGAGACTAGAATTGAGGAGGTGTGGGTTTATGGTTGGAATGATGAGCTTATGAGGGAACTGCAGTTAGTTGAGAGCGGGAGAGAGAGTTGGAGGGAAAGTGAAGCGGCGCAATTGGATAGGTACAGGTAGAGAGGCCCAATTAGCTCGCGTCAGCTGACATCGCGTGCCCCCCTTTTACAGTGTGTGATTTCCCTGCTGTTCCCGGCCCACGAAGGCCTGAGAAACACACTTTGATCGCAAGCAACTTCGAGACGCGCAAACCCGCGACCCCACTGGCACGTCTAAATACATATCTACGCGCGATAGGCCACCGCCGGCCGATTCCACGTCAGCTGAAAATAGGTTTTCTAGGAAATTTCCCGATAATTTTTTTTTTCTACGAAAACGGGGTTCGCACCGGGTCGAACCGATACGATGCGGCCCGACTCTGGACAGGATCTTTTCTACAGCAACATAGCTTACAGGAAAGTCGCTACAGGATAAACTGGACCGGATAATCAACGACCTCACAGGATTTCCCGGGGGAAAATCCTAGAATGCCGCCACCACAATTCCTTGAAGGCAACGATTGTCGAAGGAGACCCATCGGCGAGTAGCGGACAGCAGGGACTTGGTGGTGCATCTAAGAACAAAGGGCATGGGAGGAAGACCAAAAGGATGAAAAATATGAGCCGGGTGCGTTCCGACGATGAAAATAGAGAGTAGCCACCAAGTTGTCATGTTGGTGTGCGTGCGAAATGCGGCGGAACATTCTTCCGCGTCGGGGTTGCAGCGGTGTGGCCCACACCTCCCATTGGCAGGCAAATTGGTAAAAACACAACAGTCATTCCACCGCATGCTTCCGCGTCGGGAGGTTGCAGCGGTGTGGTCCGAATCTCATTAATCCCTGGCCGCCAGGTTAATAGTCGCCACCTACCGGCATTCCGTCATTGTCATGTAGGCGTCGAAGCTGAGCTCTAGGGGCTCTTGTTCAGGGCAAAGTCTACTCCCAGGGGGCCCTCCACATGGTCTGCGAATCGACGTTGAGGGGCACGCATTCAATAAACAGGATGGTCGGCCAACGGATCAAACGCGTAAGATCTTGGGCGATAGCAAAGTCGTCCCTGGGCCTGTGCCCACGCGGACACTTCCTTGCCGCATTCTGGAAAAGCTATCGTCTCAGGCATGCGAAAGGGATTTGAATAACACATCATTGTTTTGAACCTGGCACGTGGACTGCCCTCTCCTTCTCTCATACTCGTAGAGGTCTGACACTTCGACAAACCGACGTGCTTGCGGGGCTTCAATGTTGCCGCTGCCCATCCACCGCCGAACGATACCGTTGTGCGCCAACTCACATTCTTCCTGGGTCCCGCGAATGGACTCCATACCGTGCATGACATACTCCCCGTCAGCGTCACGAGTCGGTACCAGTGTCTCTCCCAGGACGCCCTGTGCGCCGACGCCGACGCTATCGCTATCAATGGCCAGATTCATCTGCCAAGTTGAGTGGTCCGGCAGGCCGTATTGTGCGATCTGGTGAAGCCGTCCGTGGCTGAGACGGACGGTGGCGATCGGCATGACGATCTGGAAGGAAGCGTGCTCGGACTTGTGGGCGAACAAGCCCCCATCCCCTCCCTCCACTACGTGACGAGCTACGTACTCCGTGCACTCCGCCATGTTGGTCGCGGTGGGGTCCCCGAGGATCCAGTCGCCCATGTCCTGATCTTTACTAGACAACCTGCGACCGCCCGCCTGCGCGTACTCGAGCTTCTTCCGCTCCCAGTACTTCTCGAACCCGAACGATCGGCAGGCGCCCGGAAGGTTGACCACAGAGACCTTCATGTTCGGAGCCATCTCGACCACGCCGGGGGCGGATAGGGCCTCTTTTCCATCGAGAGATACGCTCAACGCACCGTTCGCGAGGCAGGGGGTCACTCCGGCCGGGCAGCTACTTTCCAGGCTGTGCGGGTCCTTGACCGTGATGACGACGCTGTGGTCGAGGCCATTTCCATCCTGAGTGATGAGGGAGATACCGGTGATGTAGGTGATGTCCGGTCTGGAAGGGACCGGCGCCGTCACACGCATGTTGAGGTTCATGGACGGCAGGTCCGAGATTAGGCAGTACCATTCTCCATCGTCGCCGGTGAAGTCGAACTTCTGGCCGTGGAAACCGGTCATGTGCGGGTCACCTGTGTTTGTTAGGAGGCCCGACAGAGCGATACAGGAGTAAACGTGTGCATGGTAGGGTACTGAACCAATGACACGAGCGAGGCACACCGAACAATCGTGTCTCTTCCCACAACACGGACAGCATTGTCCTATTCATCAATTCTCAGTGCATTAGTACTCCAAGAACCAGCGTACGGATGACACGTGCATGAACCAAGCACCAGGTAGGGCGAACTCTCGGGATGCGTCGTGAACATTTACGGAATTTATGACGGTCGCGCTACCCGGTCACTACTGCTGCTTTTGCTACGTCGACTAGATTCGAAACCGTTTCTGGTTGATTATGATGTGTACGACGACGTCGACAGAGCTCACCGCAAGCCGTGGGGTCGGTGGGCAAGGGTAACTCGCAGACCTTCTTCACCGGACAGCATATCTCCGGAGAGGTGCAGTCGGTGTTAGTTTCGCAACCTGCGCGCTCAGAAGCGAGGGCGACGAAACACTTGGTCAGTGAAAGCTGAATGCATTCGGGGAGCGCCATTGGCACAAAGCTGCGCGATGCGACGGGCGCGAGCGTTTGTATCGGACGCGAGGAGGCCTCATGTTGGAACGCTCCAATCGGACCAAACTGAACTGGTACAAGCACTAGAGGCGAGCTGATTGGGCGAGCGTTGTTGTACACCGTTTATCCTGCTCGGGAGAGGTCGCGTTGTTCTTGTGTAATTTACAAAAACGGTGCTGCTTTGCCGCCCCCCTCACTGAATCGCTTGCTAGTCCTGATGACGTAATCCAACGCTCCTTTGGGTCAAGAAGTACAAGCATGGTCGTTTGCTGTCTGGCTGCAACATTGGCCAGCGCCATCAACAAGGACATAACTGTTTTGTTTACGAGAGGCGACAGTATTCATGTGATAACTGTGGTGGATGAAAACCAAAACTGCCCGCTTGTTGTTTTTCTGAGGCCCCAGAGAGGGGCGCTCCAGTGCAGGCTCTCTGTGTTTTTGCAGCCAGGAAAAGGGACAGAATCCTTATCCAAACTCGTTTTCCGCCCTAACGCACCAGCGATGCAACACGAGTTGCGAAACGCACCCGCCCCCCTCGCAACTTTCACGCACCATTTTGACAACTGAGGGCACCGCTATGATGATGCGCGAAACCAAACACTGCCAATGAGACACGCTTACCGTTCGGTCTCAAAAACCCGTCAATTTCCCAACTTGTCACAGCCTCACATTATGTTAGTCAGCTCACCGCAAGGTTCTCCATCAGAACAAGTTACAGGCCTGAACAGGGATACGGCGACCTGCAAAAAATCACAATCAAGTTTGCGTACAGAACCTGTCAGCGGTGCACACTGCCGCGCGTGCGTTAGGCGCAGGGCACCATGGTCCCGGTCGCAGGAGGCACGGTGACGTGCGATCTCAACTTTTTCCCGCCACCGCACATTTGAGTTGACCGCTACTTGACCCTCTGTGCCATGCCGGGAAGAAAGGGAGGTTATTCCATTGCAATGCTATGCGGAGAGCGTTCAATCTCGGCGGTGCAGGCTGTGCTCCCGTCGTGGCGCTGATTTACGGCTACGGCATGACGTTGGTCGATTCCGTGGCATATCGCAATCTCACCATATTGTCCTTGACCGTCTGTGCGTTATTCTCAGTGGCGGTTCCCGTAGGTTGGCCCAAGTACTCCACGTCCGGGTTTGAGAAGTAGTTGATCAACTCGGCACCGGTGCAATCATTCGAGTAGGTCATTACGGTGCGATACCTGGACGACGCACAATATCGATTCGCAACCACGTGGTGAGACATCATAATGCGGGTGCGCGCGTGCGCGGGCAAGCACACACCGAAGTCCTCATCTCAAACGACAAGTAAAACTTGCTTGTGTCGGGAACTGTATGCAGCTTTGGTATCACCAGCAAGAGTTCCTGCTATTGCTCAACAAAGCTTCAGGATCATCTGTCCTCTTTCTGCATCAATCCGGTCGCTAAGATTGCATAGGTTCCACGGACCCACCGCCCACTATATAAATCCGTTTGGTTACTCTTTCTCCGAGCAGTTGCTACTGCGCGAATGCGGAATCGACCTTTTTTCTTCGTGTTGCGTTGAAACGGATGAGCACTGGGTTTATGACTGGCGAGCGCGAAGAAGAAGTGTCTGCGCGTACTACGAGAGGACCAAGAACTGGCAAATTTCATGAAAGGAGGAAAGTACAAAACAATCCCAAAGCCTGACACCATCTCAAGAAACCCGGGCCATTCCCGAGGGTGGTGGTATCGATCGATCCACCCGATTTTTCAGTCGGATTTCTTCACGTGAAAAACATATCTCGCATGGTTACAAAATGAACCAAAGAGGGAATCGTCCTCGACAATCGTTGAAGGGGTGGGATCCTTGTTAGAGGTCACCTCCACAAATTACACAAATTGTTAGTGGCCCCAGCACGATATCAGAACTAAGTGTGTACGGTTGGATGCGACACTCGACGGTTGAGAGCTTGCACCACTGTTCTATTCGAGCCGCATCGCCTCATGGCTGCTAGTTTTAATTGATGCCCTGCCCTTCGTTTGCGTGTACGCAATGTTCCTTTTGGTCCCTCTTTCACGCATCACATCTTTGCCTGATTGCTAATTCCACCACTCACTGAGGGGTGCCCGTGCAGTAACGCAGACCATGTCCATAATCAGTCATTCCGGTGTTGGTGTTTTCCCGGTCGTGGCGGCACCCCAGGTTGTGCCCAAACTCGTGCGTTTGTGTCCAGTTCTCGAAGCACAATGAATCCATTAGGGAGTAGCCGAGGCGCTCGTCGTCATTGAAAATCCACCTGCGAAAGACGCAGATGGAAGCATGATAGCGAGCCACGTGCGTCAGATTCGGTGCTACAGCAGCGTGGCGAAGCTTGATCTGGGGTCGTCACACAACGTCGAACTCTCGTTTTTCAGGATACGGATATTGTAGCTCCCAATCAAGAACTTGGCAGTTCAGAACTTCTTGCTCAACACTTGATACAAAAATTTTGACCTTGAGCACCTTGTGTTGTTGAGCCCGGTGAAGAATCCCTACGCATGTAGCAGTCGTTCGTTAACCCACAAGAGGGACCGAAAACCTGCCAATAACTGTAGACTTTCGAGTGCGGGCGTTTTCTGTACGCACGTTGGAAGAGTCGACCCCATCCAAAGTCAGCAGAACACGACGTTGACGAAAGCCTGAGAGGCAAGCCTACAGGACTCAAGTTATGGTACTTGTGCCTCTCGAATAAACAACGCCAGTCTTGTTCACATGCTGCGGATTCAGACGAGAGGCAGCAGGGCGATCCATCCTCCTCGACGATTTCTTTGTCCCAGCCAGCCTTTTCGCCAGACGTTTGTTGTGAACGACGAACAGCCTCTAAAAACACTTCCCGGCAGCAACAATGTTTAGGCTCTGGGCATGCAGCAACCGCAACAACAGCGACAAAAAAAACAAATGCCACAAATGTATCTCGTCTACGCTGAAAACCTCTGCGCCAAAGGAGCCAGTCTTAACGGCCACCCCACTCCACGATCTTTCCCCGGCCGCCTGCCTTCGGGAATGCGACTCGCGATCCGAGCTTACCCTAGTCCACACGTAAACGGGAAGTATCCGACGAGTAACACCAGATCCGCTTCGTGCAGGTCGCGAAGAGCCGCCACTGCCGCGTTTGCCGTCACAGCGTCAAGCTCGGGAAGATAATCTAAAGTGAATGGATTCAACTGGTCGTATGGTAGCTGTGCACAGCGAAGGTAAGGGTTGACGTAAAGGTCGGTCAGTGCAGCAAGCAGGGGAGTCAAGAGTTTTGGTTGCGGTCATGCGATTAGCATGACTTTCCTTGCTGTCCACCGAAACTCTCCCACAACTTCCGTGGAACTCGGCAACGTGCACGAGGAGGCCAGGGGTAGCCCACAAACAGCCACTAACAGGTGGGACGAGGCCCAGAGTGGAAAAACACTCGTCACGTGTACGATCACCCAGAGAGTTGAGCGGGGCATCTTATGAGAATTCCAAGCGTGACAACGCCCCCATTTGATTCGGGTTTCGGTCCTCCCTCGGACGCGCTGAAACAGATGACCGTCTTTTCCTAGGGATCGCAAAGTTTCGCCTGTAACTGAGTGCACGCACACGTGCGACGTACTCGAGGTCCTCCGTCCATAACCTCTCGTGACGGCATGATTCTCACAAGCAACCTCATTCGATGGCGCACCAAGAGCCCACCTGTGCCACATGAACGAGGTTGAAGTCCAGCTCAATGTCTGAGTTGGAGGTGGCCTCATTCATTGGCCCAACAGCCGCGGCGATCATAGATAGCAGCTGTGGTTCCGACCAGCCCCGACTGGCGTAGGCCTCCGGGGTGTATACCACCAAAAAGTCGATCTTCATCGTTGAAGGAAGAAGGGAATCGGTAGCAAGGAGGATAGAACGTTTGAGACTGCGACAAAATAAGGTGTTGTTTTGGGGGATCACAATGATATCGTCTGTGTGGCAGAGCCATTACTAGCACTTGGTCGTGGGCATTCACTTTGATAAGGCGCGTGTGCCAGTAGTGAACACAAGTGTTCTCTACGATATGCTAGTGGAGTACACACTACTGTTGTTAGTGCATGTATATATTATTTTTTTTTGCCTTCCGACAATTCCAGATGTACCTCAGAAAACTTTCACTTAATGTCTCATACTCTACAGGAATGTTAAACCAATACGAAGTATAACAACATATGTAGGACTTATTTCTACTGTCACTTACATCGTAAAAATATCTCCTCTTCAATTTGTTAGTGCATATTTTTGTCTTCACGTCAAATCAGCGCCAACAGCACTTGTACGGTTTACTCCAACCCGTGGTCACACAGGAGGGACCCTCTCCCGGAGGCCCCCTCCCCAACGCTTCTGCGGTGCTTTGCCTGAGAAAACAGTGCAGCACTTTCTTCCATCTGTACACACACGAACAAGCGCTTTCCACCCAGGCCAGGAACGGAAGCGAGAAAATAATTCTTTTCAAAAACGCCTTCTTACATCAGCATTGGAGTCCCTGACCCTGGCGACTAGGAGGCTTTCGAGGATACCAACGACACTATCGGGGCAACCGGTACATCTCTGTTATTGGGATGGGTTTGATCGGGTTTCGGGCCAACTCGTTTCCTCAAATCTGCGGACAGCAGCGTATTTTTCACCACTGCAGCCTCGTGGCAAGGCGCACAACGGGTAGAAACCCTGTCCGAAGAAGTTCATGTGATATTATCTTCCGGGCTTGAAGGATCACCTGGGTGCTGCCGGCCTGAAGCTCGCGGGAGCTGGGCGAGCCCCGACTGAAGGGTGATTCCTTACCCCCCGGTTTCGTGGGCGCACGAATCTGCACAGAAGGAACCACATGTGTTGTGGAAAGCGGTTTTAAAGCCAGACAACGCTGGCGGCAATGTCGAGCAATGAGATCGCGAGGGACACACGTCCGGAACCTTTTTCTTGTCTCTCTTGGCATGTCTTGGCGATCGCTACTGTCCTGCTGGACGAACGCTTTCACGTGACAGGAC